TTTCTTACTCACTTTGAAGTGGTTTTTGTACAGGGTGAGAGACGGATACTAGTTTCATTGCACATGTGGTTCCCAGTGTTCCCAGCATTATCTGTTTGAAAAAGCTCTCTGTTCCCAAAACTGCTGCTGAAAACCTAGTGGGATTACTTCTAGGTCCTTCATTCTATTCCACTGCTCTGTGTGCCATTTTTTTTTTTTTTTAAGACAGGGTCTCCCTGTAGCCCCAGCTGTCTTGGAACTCGTTATATAGACCAGGCTGGCCTTGAACTCACAGAGATCCACATGCCTCTGACCCCCAAGTACTGGGCTTAAAGGCTTGCGCCACCACACCTGGCTTGTGTGTCTGTTTTTGTACCAATACCATGCTGCTGCTGCTACTATGGCCCTGTGGCATATTGCAAGTCAGGTACTACATCTCCTCTATCACTGCTCTTTCTGCTTAAGATTGTTTTAGCTATCTGGGGTCCTTTGTGCGTCCATACAAATTTTAGGATTTTTTTTTTTTTTAAGTTCTATATAGTCTACCACTGGAGTGTGATGGGGATCCCATTACATCTGTAGACTTCGTTTATTAATACAGCCATTTTGAAAATATTCATTGTGTCAATTTAAGAGGATGAGAGGCCTGTCCATCTTTAAATGTCTTCTTCAGTTTCTTTAGTGTAGTGTTTTAAATTTTTCACTGTAGGCTGGGGAATAGTGGAGCATGCCTTGAATCCTAACACTTGGGAGGCAGAAGTAGGCAGATCTCTGTGAGTCTGAGGCCAGCCTGGTCTACACAGCAAGTTCCAGGCCAGCCAGGGATGCATAGTGAGACCCTGTTTTTTTAAAAATAAAAATTGTGCTGGGGGCTGGAGAGATGGCTCAGTGGTTAAGAACACTGACTGTTCTTACAGAAGACCTGAGTTCAAAACCAGCACCCACATGGCAGCTAACAACTGTCCATAACTCCAGTTCCAGGGGATCCAACAGCCACTTCTGTCCTCCGTGGGCATTGCACAACACCGGTGCACTTATCTGCATGCAGGCATAACAGGCATACACATAAAATAAAAATTAAAAAGAGAAATCTAAAAAATAAAAATTAAAAAAATTAAAAAATTGTGGCACTGGGTGTGATGGTGCATGCCTTTAATCCCAGCGCTTGAGAGGCAGAGGCAGGCAGATCTCTGTAACCTTGAGGCCAGCCTGGTCTACATGTGGAGTTCCAGGCCAGCTGGGGCTACAGGGGAAACCTTGTCTCAAAAAGATGCCCCCCACCCCCCGAAAAAAACAAGTCTCTAAAAATTGTAATAGAGGTCTTTCACTTCTTTGATTAGATATATTTCAAAGAAGGGAGGGGGTTCATTTGTGTTTGTGGTGCTAGGTACTGAATCCAAGCTACGTAAGTGTTCTACCACTGAACTGTATGTCTCCTGCTAGTTTTTTTTAACATATTGCGAATGAAATTCCTCCTCTCGGCCCCAAAATTCCCTTTTCAGTGAGATCATTACTGGTATATAGAAATACTGATTTTGTATTCTGTTACTTGGATAAAAATGTTTATGAGACATAGGAGATTTCTGTTGTAAATTTTAGGGGTTTGGGGTTTTTAATTGTTTTATTTTATTTGTATGAATGCTTTCCTGCATGTGCACCTGTACTTGTAATGCCAGGAGGCCACAAGAGGCCAGTTTCCACGGAAATCGTGTGGGAACCAAACCCAGATCCTCTCCAAGAGCCTGTGATCTTAAACACCCCAATCTTATCTTCTGAAAGAACCACCTCTTTCACTGCCTACCATGCTGTTCTTTTAAGTCTCTGCTTCATTAGTCTCTCCCCTGACGCTTATGATTTCTGTCTATTTCCTGACTTTTGGTTAGGTTTGTTCTTTTTCTGTGACCTTGAACTGCATCACTAAACATAACGTTTGAGAAAACTCTGATTTTTGTGAGTTTTTAATTTTTTTAAATTTTTATATTTTGTTCTTTTTGAGACAGGGTCTCCCTGTAACTGGAACTACGTAGACCAAGCTGGCCTTGAACTCTGAGATCCACCTGCCTCTGCCTTCTGAGTGCTAGGATTAAAGGCATGCACCATCACACCCGGCCAGTTTTTGGTTTTGTTATTTTTAAGGAAAAATGATTTATTGAGTACACTGAAAAAAGGCAAGGGCTGAGCAGTAACTAGAGTACTACCCAGAACATGTGGTGTTCTCTGATTTTTTTAATGAAAACACTCCCAGCTATACATTTTTTTCTTAGCACAGCTTTTGCTGTATCCCCAAGGTTCTGATAAGCAGTGTCTTCTCTTTCATTTGGTTCATATATATATATATATAAAATTTGTGGGGAGGGTGTCTTTTTGAGACAGGTTCTCCTTGTAGCCTGGATCTCACAAAGGCAACTCACAAAGATCTGCCTGCCTCTGCCTCCCAAGTGCTGGGATCAAAGGCTTGCGCCACCACGCTCTGCTGGTTCTAAGAATTTTTAAATTGATTCTCGGATTTCTTCAATGGTCCAACAGGATTCAATAGTATATTGTTAAGCCTACAAGTATTTATACAGCTTCTTCATGTGTGAGCCTGGGTGTGCATATATGTGCACAGGCCAGAGGACAACATCCTCAGATGTCATCCACTTTTTTCCCCCTTATACTTATTTTTATATACATATAAATATACATATGATTCTTTTTGCCTATAGATATGTAAGTGCACCTGTATCATACAATGCCCTCAGAGGCCAGAAGGTGTCCCATCCCCTGAAACTGGGGTTATAGATGGTTGTTGGCCACCTTGTGGGTGCTGGGGATGGAACCCAGTCCTCTGCAAGAGCAGCTAGGGCTCTTACCCACTGAGCCACTTCTCTGTCCATTGTGGTTTTGAGACAGAGTCTCTTATTGGCTTGGAGCTTGCCAACTAGGCTAGGCTGGCTAGCTGGCCAGCAAACCTCCTTCTGCCTCCTCAGTACTGGGACTACAACCACAGGCAGCAGCAGCACCCTACCATGCAAGCTTTTATGTATTTACATGGTTCTGTGGATTTAAACACAGATGAGCTATCTCCCAAGCTCATAATTCTATAGTTTCTCTTCCTTTAATTGTGAATCTTATTCCACTATGATTGATAAATGCAGGACATTACCTCACTGTTTCTCTGTTAGGGTGTGTTATGGCCTAAAGTGTGATCTGTTTTATAGAAAATTTCATGGGCTGCTGAAAGGATTGTGTATTCTACAGCTGTTGGATGGAATAATTTGTAGACAACTATTAAGTCCATTTCATCTATGGTACAGTTTAACTCTGAGTTTCTTTGGTGATTTTTTTTTTTTTTTTTTTTTTTTTTTTTTTTTTGTGGGGGGAGAAGGGTCTGGATGATCTATTGAAGTCACCCACTATCATTGTACCTGGACCTATCTGGATTTCTACATTCCATAGTGTTTGCGTTAGTGCCAATGTTCATGTACATCTATTCATAACCATTTTATCTTCCTGAAAGATTGTTCCCTTTATTATTATGTAGTGACCTTATTATTATTATTGTTATTCTTTTGGTCTTTTTGAGACAGGGCTTCCCTGTAGCCCCAGCTGGCTTAGAACTCACTATGTAGACCAGAATGGCCTTGAACTCACAGAGATCCAGCAGTCTCTGTTTCCCGAGTGTTGGGATTCAAGGCCTGAGCCACCACGCCTGGCTAGTGCCCTTCTTTGTCTCTTCTATATTGGACTGAAGCCTCTCTGATCAGATGGAAGCACTGTTCCACCTGTTTTCAGCATCTCCTTGCTTTATAGACATCTGTTCTAGCTGGATTTCTGTTGCTGTAGTAGAAGCATAATGACCAAATGCAGCACAGTGGAGGAAAGGCTCAGTCTAGCTTACAAGTCCATCACAGCATATCACTAGGGTGGTCAGGACAGAACTCAAGGGCAGGACTGCTTGCTATTTCACAGCATTACCTCTAACCCAAGAGCTCAAGCTCAGTTCACAGCCAAAGAAGTACAGCAGGACCAAGAGAGGATACTGCTTTCTAATTGACTTGCAGGCTCATGCTTAGTCAGCACCCCCATCCCCCATCCCTTCCTGTGTATGTCTGCTTCTCTGTATGAGTCTATTGCAATACATACATGCAAGGCCCTTAGATAGCTTTCTTACTCAGCCTAGTACTACTGCCTACCCAGGGAACAGTACCACCCACAGTGGGCTGGGCCCTCTTACATCAAGTAAGGAAGCCAGTCTCCCACAAAAATGTCCATAAACCAATCTGATTTGCGCAATTCCTCAGGGAGGCTCCCTCTCAGGTGACTCTAGGCTGTGTCAAGTTGACAACTGAAGTGAATTAGAGCAAGTCCATGCCAGTGAAGAGTCTTTTTTTTTTTTTTTGGTCTTTTTGAGACAGGGTCTCCCTGTAGCCCCAACTGTCCTGGATTCACCATGGAGACCAGGCTGGCCTCGAACTCACAGAGATCCGCCTGCCTCTGCCTCCCGAGTGCTGGGATTAAAGGCGTGCACCACCAGGTCCCACCTGAAGTGTGTTTCTTATAGACATACTGCTGTTCATTTAAATAATTGTTCTGAAATTTGTGGAGCATCTTACCAGGATGGCTGAGAACAAACTGTCATCTGTCTCCTACTAGCAGTCTTACCAAAAATATTTCAGTAAGCATTCTTAGGATTTCATTATCTAAAGTAAACTGATGAAAAAATAACCAAAAAACTTTCCAAAATGACCCCATCTTGTTCAACATGTTATCACGGAAGGCTTGACAGAGCATGCATCAAGGGTATGATCTAGTGAACACGGAACACAGATCAGCCCTCCGTGTCCTTAGCCCACAGCTGTTCTATAGCATATTTCTGTATGTTTTCTTGCTTTAACAGAAGTAAACACAAAGAACAAGCTATTTTAAATGCCAAAGACATTAACTATGAGGTTTGCATAGGATTTTTGAATGATTTTTTTGGTCTCTTACCAGATTATGTAAATGTACAAGCACACACACCAGCGAGAAGAGGAAGAAGGTCTGAGAGGCACACATGGACGGCTTACCTAGTCTCGGGGTTGTAGCCCAGTATGTAGAAAAATGAGTCCGCTCGTGCTTTGAACTCTCTAGCAGCAAATATGTCAGAAAAATGGGAGATGCTACACTTCCCTCTGCAAGAAAAGAAGAGACAAAAGTGTATTAGTAACACCCTCGGCGGCTTCGCAAACCAATGTCGTTGGAAGGTAGGGAGGGGAAAACACAAAACCAAATCCAAGGCACCAGTAATAAGATGCTGTTTCCATGCTTGATTCCAAACTGGTTTTGGTTTAATGATGGCTTTGATTATTGTACATCAGTTGCTTTTACATTACCATTTTTGTAATAAAGTAAAACTAATCAAACCACAAAGTTAAACTGGGAATCAGTTTTGTTGGCTCATTCTTACACTCTTAGTGCTTCGGAAGCTGAGGCAGGAGGATCACTGCAAGTCCAAGGCACATGGTGAGTTGTCGGCAAGTGTGGGCTACAGAGGCTCTCAAGTATCAATAAAACAATAAGGGGATAGAGAGATGTCTCAGTGGTTAAGAGCACTGGCTGCTCTTGCAGAGGGTTCAATTTCCAGCAGCCACATGGTGGCTAGCAACCACCTGTAACTCCAGTGCCAAGGGGGGAACCTAATGCCCTCTTCTGATTTCCCGAGGGCATTGAATGACACAGGTATACTTACATACATGCAGGCAATAAATACACTCAAACACATAATTTCTGCCGGGTGTGATGGTGCACGCCTTTAATCCCAGCACTAAGGAGGCAGAGGCAGGCGGATCTCTGTGAGTTCCAGACCACGTGGGGGTACAGGGAGACCCTGTCTCAAAAAGACAAAAAAAAAAATTTAATTTTTTAAAACTTTTTGAGACAGGGTCTCCTTGTAACCCCAGGCTGGCCTTGAACTCACAGAGATCGGCCTGCATCTACCTCTGGAGTGCTAGGAGTAAAGGCGTGTACCACCACACCTGGCCTTCAGAATCCCATCTTGATTTATCTCTAGTGCTATTCAGTATATTGCTGTGCAGTTTTCATGGTGGTTGCTCTAAAAGACACAGAACTTATAGTATCACACAGTCTAATGGTAGCATCACTTTACCAATTCTAGTCAAGTGCAGAAATTAACTTCAGCTTGTGCTTTTCCTTTATATCCAGAAACTGCTTAATATGAAGCACTAAATTTCTGGGCAAGTTGGCTTACATTCTTTGTTTTTCACTGGTTTATTTATTTCATTCAAAAATGTATTTTAGGGGCTGGAGAGATGGTTCGGCGGTTAAGAGCACTGACTGCTCTTGCACAGGACCCGGGTTCAATTCCCAGCACTCACATGGCGGCTACGAACTGTCTTTAACTCCAGTTCCAAGGGACTCCGACACCCTCTTCTGAGGCATTGCATGATGAGGGTGCGCTCATACACATAAAATGGTGTGGTGGCACACGCCTTTAATCCCAGCACTCTACTCGGGAGGCAGAGGCAGGCGGATCTCTGTGAGTTCGAGGCCAGCCTGGTCTCCATATCGAATCCAGGCCAGCTAGGACTACAGGGAGACCCTATCCCCAAAAGACCAAAAATAAATAAATAAAATAAATATTTTTTAAATGTATTTTATAGGTATGAGTATTTTGCCTGCATGTAAGTACACTGTGCATGCAATGTCTGTGTAGGCCAGAAGAGGGCAATGGATCCCCTGAAACTAAAGTTAGGGACCATTATAGGCTATCATGTAGGTGTTGGAACAGAACCTGGATCCTCTGCAAGGGCAGCCTGTGCTCTTAACCACTGACCCATCTCTCCACTCCCTAAACTACTGGTTTATTGCAATGTAATCAGATACCTAGTTTTCTCAATATAACTTAACACATGACAAAATTTTAAGAATGTGACAAAATACATAAAAAAGAAAATGCATTCTCTCACTGAGAGTACAGTCTGTAAGACTGGGTGCTTAGGAAAGAACTAACAAAATGTGTAAGCTTCCCCAGGCCTTAATGCCAGCCCCCATTCATTTATTATTTTTATTTTTTGTGTATGCGTGTATTGCCTGCATGTAGGTAAGTGCACAACTGTCAGGCAATGCCCACAGAGGACAGAAGAGGCTGTCAGATCCCCTGGAACAGGAGTTATGGACAGTTGTTAGCTGCCATGTGGGTACTAGGATTCAAACCCGGGTCTTCTGCAAGAACAACCAGTGTTTTTAACTGCTGAGCCATCTCTCCAGCCCCCAAGGCAAATTTTCAATACTCATGAAGCATATAAAAGTCACCATAAACAAAGACGAAAAACAACCTGTGTTCTTAGAAAAATCAACATGGCATTTCTCTATACATTAGTGAACACATGCAATACAATCATTATACAAATATCACAGTTGCACAGAATGAAAGAGGTTAACACCAAGGTTCATGGGAAAAAGCAAGTAATTTTTTTGGGGGGCGGGGGGAGCTTTTTGAGACAGGGTCTCCTTGTAGCCCCAGACTGCCTGGAACTCACAGACCTGCCTGCCTCTGCTTCCCAAGTGCTGGAATTAAAGGCACGAGCCATCATGCCGGCTAAAAAGCAAAATTTTATTTTTTATTTTATTTTATTTTTTTACTTTACTTTACTTTACTTTACTTTATTTTATTTTATTTTTTGGTCTTTTTGAGACAAGGTCTCCCTGTAGCCGCAGCTGGCCTGGAGTCGCTAATGGAGACCAGACTGGCCTCGAACTCACAGAGATCCGCCTGCCTCTGCTTCCCAAGTGCTAGGATTAAAGGCGTTCGCCACCACGCCTGGCTTAAAAGCAAGTATTTTACACAAGTGCATTTACATACACGTAGGCAATACACTCATACACATAATACTTTTTTAAAAAAGAAAAGATTAAGGAATTTGACTAGATATAGCTAAGTTTTACATTAAAAAGACACTACCAAGGAGACCAAAAGAGAGTTGACAAAAGTGGAAGAGAGCATTGGTGACTCGGACAGCAGACACCACAGACACAAACCAAACTTGTTTTGTTTTTGTTTCTTAAGACAAAGTCTCATCCTGTAGCCCAAGCTGGTTCTAAATCACAATCTTTCTGCCTCTGCCTCTGCCTCTGCCTCTGGAGTGCTGGAATCACAGGCGTGCAGTGCCATGTCTGATTCCACAAAGAACTTCCTCAGAGTGGAGGACAAAAACGCAATAAATAGACATGATCAGACAATTCACAGAAAGAGAATACCCTACAATCACATGAAAAATGTCCAAATCCATTAACTGTTCATGAAATAAAGTAAAACGCTAAAATAGCATTTTTCACCTGTCAGACTGGTAAGTTTTTAAAAAATAAGACAAAGCATCCTGTTAGGAAAACAATCAGTGTCAGATACTATCAGGGAACATGCTAATAAGTACATCCCTTCTGGAGGGAAATCTGGCAATGGCTAACATGTACAACCCAGCAATTCCCATTCTCTATATAAATCCACCTGTATATAAACACATGTGGCATGTGTGAGGATATAACTTGCAGCATTATTTACGATGGCAAAATCCTAGAAACAATATGTTGTGCCCATATACCAGACAGCACCTGAGTGAGCTGTTGCACATCAACATGATGGAGCACTATGCAGCTATAAAAGGGAATTAGAAGGGTCTTCCTGAACTGATGAGCAATTCCCATAACATACTGCCCAGAGGAAAAAAGGCAAAGCACAAAAGAGATCTACAGTATTCTGCTCTCATGAAAAAGCATTGTAAGAAAACAAATGTAGCCAGGTGTGGTGGCACATACCTTTAATCCCAGCACTAGGGAGGCAGGCAGAGGCAGGTGGATCTCTGTGAGTTGAAGGCCAGCCTAGTCTACATAGTGAGTTCCAGGCCAGCTGGGGCTACAGGGAGACCCTGTCTCAAAATGCTCAAAATGCTTGAAAAGAAAGAGGGGGAGGGAAGTGGAGGGGAGAGGTGTATGTGCTCATCTGTGGTAAGAGGAAAAATGAACGAAAAAGTCAATCACTCAGCTCTGTAATAGTTTGGAACCTGAAGATCCCATAGAGTGAGAATGTTAAAGGCTACAGTATACAGGGTGGCGCTACACAGGGATGGGTCATGCCCTCAAAGGAAGACTGTGGGTCTGGTTTCCTTCTCTTGCCTTTGTGGTTTCATTCTGCCATACTTTCACACCATGGTATCCTCAGCCTAGACCTAAAGTCACAGAGCCAACTGATGAGACTACTCTCTTATTTGTGAAAAAAAAACCTTTCATCATTTCAAGTATCTTGTTTAGTGACAGAAAGCTGACCAGGGCAGAGGATCTAACTGGGTATTCCCAGCACCTAGCACAGAGCACTTCATCGACAGGAAGAGTTTAATGCTGTACTGAGATATATAGACAAAACAATGTTCTGTCAGTTATTTCACACATGAAAACAGCTGCGGACTAAATCCAGAAAGTAAATCTTCAACTTCAAAACTGAGATCTCTGCGATACAGAAAACACCTTTTATAAGTGACAGAAAGGTTGGACAGGGTATATACAGATAGAATTGATGTTTTAATTCATATAGATGACAGCTGCTCATAGTAAAGTAGGGAAATATGTAAATTCTGGTTGAACAGAATGAAATTAGAAATTCTAGAGTGAATTTTCACTCTAAGGGAATTTCTAAACATGAATCCCTAGGTAAGATGGCAACATGCAGCCTGACCTACCTCAGGACTTTTTTCTTAACATACGAGAAACAGAAGGCAGACAATGAGGAAGCTAGAGAACATCTCAAATCACTGGGCCATTTCTGATCCTGCACTATCTACCAGTCAATGTACTATTGCAGCATGTGTTCCCAGTTGCACACTCTCAGTCCCATTACAGAGTAACTACTCCAGATCCAAGGATCACCAACAAAACACTGTCCTTAAAGGGGAAAGTAATTCAATAAACAGCAAGGGACGGGTGTGTCTGAGCATTCTTGGAGTTTTTCAATATGGCTACCAGAGCTAAACTTTTCTTGCTATGCCTGAAGTCATGTGACTGCCCAATCATCTGACAGGCCACCAAGAAATAAAACCCATATATCTATACTACTAACATAACAAAAAAAAATTTTTTCTTTTTCTTCCTTTAACATCTCTTCCTCTTTTCTGGACCTCCCTGAGATTCAGAAACATGAAAAGAACACCAGCAATGCCACTAGGCATAGGGCACTCTGTGAGGGCAGTCCACATACCTGCTAGCAGTGGATGCTGAACCAGAGGATTTGTTAGGAGGTACTGCTAAGTTGTGTGGCTGTGAACAAGTCTGTCAAAAATATTATTTAAAAACTGACTAATTTGGACTTGGAAAGATGGCTCAGCAGTTAAGAGCACTGGCTGCTCTTACAGAGGACCCAAGTTTGAATCCCAGCACCCTCATGGTGGCTCACAAGCATCAGTAACTCCAGCTCCAGGGGATCTGACACCCTCTTCTGACCTCCAAGGACACTGCATAACATGGATGCACTTATATACACATGCAGACAAAACTCATACACATAAAACAACATAAAAATAACAACAAAAAATATATATATTTTTTGTCTTTGTTGAGACAGGGTCTCCTTGTAGCCCCAGCTGTCCTGGAACTCACTATGTAGACCAGGCTGGCCTGGAACTCACAAAGATCCACCTGCCTCTGCCTCCCAAGTGCTGGGATTAAAGGTGTGCGCCACCACGCCCGGTCAAAAAATGTACTTTTTAAATTAACAAAGTTGACACTGGTCACAAAGCTATGTAACAGCAAAATTCAGATCAAAAAGTTCTTATTTCAAGTGGGTCCTTTTTTCCCATTATGCCACAATGTCAGCCAAAATTACTTACCAGGGAATAAGAAAATTCAAGTTATAATCTACTCAAGATGTTAACTTTGCTTGAAAGGTAAAGGTGGGAGATGGCCAAGGCCAAGGGCTTGAAATCAGCAGCAAAGCAGGTGCCCTGGCCTCACAGCCTGGGAATAAACTTACTTCTGGTAGGGAAAAGCTAATATGTCACACTTTACAAAGAAAAGGCTGTGGAGGAATTCTGTTTTCCTTTTGATTCCTGGTGACTAAAGGACAAAGCTATCCCTCCTCTTTTGTAACCCAACTCTAACACCAGCTTGAAAGAAAAATTTAGACATCAGCTTCCTCCTAGTGAAAGCAATGGCCAGAGGCCCTCTCTGAGTGGCTATAGGCAAGATGGATCCAGATAATGGAGTTCTTTGATCTTTGAAAGAGCTGGTGCTCAGTGCCAACATTAAGAGGCTTTCCCTTTTGTCCCTCATGGTTTGTTCTTCCCCATTGTACTCCCCTGACTCCTTTCATGTACCTACACACTATTTTGTGTCTCCCTGAAAATTAATTTTATTTTTGTTAGTATTGGTTTATATCTGTGAATAAAGAAAATATACTTTCTGTGGGTGAACTGTGAAAAGAATAATTGGCAGAAAAAGTTAATCATTCATCACCAGCTCTCATTCCCCCCTCCCCCCAAATATATTTAAATTACTGTTATCTAACTCTGGCACTGGAGAATGTGAGGACTTTAGCAAGTGGTTACTAAGTACCCCCCATAGCCAGATCACTAGGTAACAAAGTGATCCTGTAATGCCTAGTATCTGGGAAACTAACCCAGTCATCAGGTCACAAAGGGATTCTTTATGAAGTTAACAAAGCCAAACTTAAGACAAAAGTTTTATAACAGAGCTAACTACTTTTTGAACAACTTTTAAGACAATACCAGAAGAGGATAAAAACCTCATCAATAAGGATTCTAGTCAGATACTCAAGAAGCTCAAGTTTGGCTCAAAATAGCATTTTCAGATGCAGTGGCCACAGCCAGGACAGTGGCCCACAGTCATGCATCTCCAGGAGCCAAGTGCAAGGCTGGCTAGCTCAAGTAAACCAAACCTATCTGAGTCCAACTAGAATTACTTGAGATAAACAGTTCTAAAAATGCTAAAATGAGATGAGAATTATTCATCAAATTGAAAAGCATTGCTTAATACTCAAATATATTCACTTTAAGCAATTATGTCAAAACATAATTATATTGGACAGCCAGGTACACCTCTCACATGTTTATTTAACTAGAATTCTAAATCCTTTAAAATCCTTTACTTCAACCAGGAGACAAGATGGAATGAAAAGAAAAAAGAAAGCAAACCATGATAAAAGCTAAGCTAGCTATCTTAAGATAGCAATTTAATTGTTCCATCAAGCTAGCCAGCCCTCCATTAACTTGCTTTGTTCAGCAAGCAGGCTTAATTGAAGATCACAAAACCACCTTCAAAAGACAGACAAAAGCTTGCAGGAATTTGAGAAAAGTTCCTAAAACACCACAGGCACTCTAGAAATGAAGCCTGTGGAAAGTCAAATCTCAATCTCATTGTACCAACACCCCCTCCCCCCAAGCTCAGCAAGTCATGTCTGTCCCCACCACTTTTTTTTGGGGGGGGGTCTGTCTGAGACAGGGTCTCCCTATAGCCCCAGATGACCTGGAACTCACTATGTAGATGAGGCTGGCCTTGAACTCAGCGATCCGCCTGCCTCTGCCTCCCAAGTGCCCATCATGTTTTTATATGGTACTAGAGAACAATTTTTACATTTTTAAGTGGCTGAAAAATGGGGGGGGGGTACTTTTCTGACATGTGAAAATTGAATAAAACTAAAATCTATATCCATATAAAAAAGGTTTGGGCAGAACACAGCCACCTCATTTATATACCCATTGCCTGTGGCTTTTACACTACTGCTAAATACTGAATAGATGAGATAAGGCCCAAAAATCTGCCAAAACCTGCCCTACATGAATGTGGCTGCCCTTCTGCCTCAACATAACTGGCTTTATCTGTGTAGCTGTGCCCAAGATTCCAGATTTCACTGAATATCATGTGAGCACTGTAACTGAAACTGCTGCCCCCACCTAGCAAAGCTAAAGCCAGCAAATTTTAAGGACTTTTAACCACATTCTTGTTTTTTTCTTTTTTGTTTTTTTTCTTCTTTTATAATCACATTCTCTAACAAAGAGACTAGTGGGTGGGGTACATACTACTTTATTATGTATGATTTCCAGTGAGGAAAAAGTTCTAAGAATTAGTCTCCTTTATGTAGGAGGCCCAAATCAGCCAGTCGTATTTACACACATGTACAAGGATACTCAGGTGCCTTGCTCTTGAGAGAACATAAAACATAGGAGAGAGGCCCTTCCTCACTTTGCAGCAAAACTATCTGACATTACAGAAAACAAATCCTTATAAATCCTGCTGACTTTTCTATTAGCTAACATAGCAGCACATTTTCTTCATCTGTTTCTTCATCTTTTCTAGTCATAGGGGTTTGATCTTTACAAAGTAAACTACAGACCTTCAGAGTATTTCACCCTAAATACTTTTGCACACAATACCAGGTTATTAATTTTCCAGAAAGATACAGTAAGGATGTGAAACAAATTACAAGAAAAATACAGGGAAAGGTAAATCAAGATCAGTAAAGACAGGGCAGCCTCTGAAATCTCAATAACCCATAGGTAACAATGGGATATTAGTTCACGAGATGGTGAGTCTTCTGATGAAGGACTAGCAAAGGTAAGAACAGAGCAGCTACCTCACCTCCCACCTCCCCATCCTCAGTAACTTCACACCTGAGTCCTTACCTAAGGGCAGCAGCATGGTATGTGTCAACGTAATCAGAAATGAAGAGTTCTCGGTTCTTAATAACTGGATCTGTGATGACAAGTTCTCTTCCGGAGTCTACCAAAAAATAAATAAACTAGTTAAAAAGATATGAAAACAGAGTTTCCCAAATAAGTAGGAAATTTTTGCAAAAGTTGTTTTCAAGATTACCTCCCACTAAAGACTGCACAACAAATAACCAAGGCTAGTTAGCATTGGAAGTACCCAAAATAGGGCTGGGTATAACACATAGCCAGGATAACAAAAGAACAAAGTGGACATCATCTGACAGCTGATTGGATGTATATTATACCTTTTATCAAGCCCTTACCCCATTTACTGAAATGCATTAATAAGGTTTTTTAAAAAAATGAAATGGAAAAGAAGCAATTTTCATATCACAGCAACTTGTAAACTATTTTTCTTTAAAAAGAAACATTTTTATAGTTATTTTGTGTGCACCTATATATGTACAAGGGTGTGCATGTTCCACAGCACGCCTGTGGAGGTTAGAGGACAACCTGCAGTTCTCTCCTTCCACCAGGTGGCGTCCTGGGAATCAAACTTAGAACTCAGGTCAGCAATGCTTAGCAATGGGTACTTTTATCTGTAGAATCATTTCTCTGGCCTTAAGTTATTCATATACTTAGTGTATCTGTCCCTGTCACCTCCCCCACTTTTTTTTGGGGGGGGGAGGGTGAGACAGGGTCTCCCTGTAGCCCCAGCTGTCCTGGAACTCACTATGTAGACCAGGCTGGCCTTGAACTCACAGAGATCTGCCTGCCTCTGCCTCCCAAGTGCAGGGATTAAAGGTGAGTACCACCATGCCTGGCTAATCTGTTCATTTTATGCTGTTTGTTTTGTTTGTTTGTTTGAGATGTAGCCCAGGCTGGCCTTGAACTCATCATACTCTTGCCTTCACCTTCTACCACATTCTGGGATTATAAGATATACTATCACATCTGGCCTTCCCTCTTATTTACTTGTCTGTTGGTCTATTACTAAACATTCCAAAATAGAATGAAGTCACACACAGACTGAACTAAAAAGAATTACCAATCTTTTTCAGGAATTATAAATTTAATTAACAGAAACTTTTAGCATTTCAAAGTTTTTTTTTTAAAAAAAAAAAAGTCATGTATAAAAACCTCATTCTGCAAAATCACCTTGACTACTGATTTGCTGACTGAAACCCACCAGTAAAGATGGCAGGAGGGTAGAAGGAACACAAAGCAGGCCTAGGAAGCTCCAGCACAGCTGGAGGGTGAGTGCTGGGGCCTCAGCAACTCCCACAGCCTCTCTAAATTCCACTTCCAGAACAACCCCACCCCACCCATGGGTGACTAATGTACACTATCTAGCATAAGGATCCTCTCAAGAGCAAGTTTTTAGAAGGCTACTATACACCTGTATAAATGCAACACACAGTACATATCTCATATGCTGATAGAGCTACTGAGCCATTGTACAGCGGGGGTGGGGATGGGGGGTATCAGTCAGCTGTCTGGGATTATTTTCTCTGTTCTGAAGGCCAGCTATTAACCCACACTCCAAAAGGTAACTCAGAAAGCTGTACTTGGAAAACCAAAGTTCTATAGAGAAAGCTCATTAACACATTACTGGAAGAACAAGGAATACACCCCTGTGGGATTTTAAATACTGTCTGTCAATAGGCTAAAAATGGGAATTTAAAGAATTAAATTCCTGCCATATTGAAAAAAAATCTTACACAGTTTTTTAAAAATATTTTTATTTATTACTTTTATTTTACATGTATGCGTGTATTGTCTGCGTGTAGGTAAGTGTACCTATGTCGTGCAATGCTCACGGAGGACAGAAGAGGCTGTTGGATCTCCTGGAACTGGAGTTATGGACAGTTGTTAGCTGCCATATGGGTGCTGGGATACGTACCCCGGTCTTCTGCGAGAACAGCCATTAACCGCTGAGCCATCTCTCCAGCCAAGAGGTTTTTTTTTTTTTAAACTGTCTTTTTTTTTAAGGGAAAATTAAAAATAATGGGGGGATCCAGCAATATTCTTTATTAAAAGCTCTTTTAAAAGAACTTTATCATAAGCTAGGCGTGGTGGCGCACGCCTTTAATCCCAGCACTTGGAAGGCAGAGGCAGGCGGATCTCTGTGAGTTCGAGACCAGCCTGGTCTACATAGTGAGTTTCAGGACAGCTGGGGCTACAGGGAGACCCTGCTTCAAAAAGACCAAAAAAAAAAAGAACTTTATCATAGTAGTCATCTCCATTTAATGGATGTTTCTTTAAAAAGAACTTTACTCAAAGCTAAGATTTAAAAACATCAAATCACAAGGACATATTTACCATTTTCATTATGCCGATCCTGAACCAAATGCTGATACACTGAATCTGGAACTTCAGACTGACGGTAGTACCATTTGACGTTCATGAGTAGATGGTCCCTCTTACTCTGAAAAGGAAAATCTAACAGCATTAGGAAAAGGTTTCGGGTGCCTGTAGGTGCACATCATACCTATGACCAAAAGCCCCTGTAAACAGGTAGACAGGCAGACGGGGCAACACAATGACCACCAGCACCACAATTACTGGGTCAGATCTGATTGTCTCAAAAACCCCACCTTTGGCCCTAACCTTCAAAGTTGCTTATTTCAGGAAACAAGAACAACCAATCTTGAAGCTGCCTAGCTTCTTAGTTTGATTAGTTTATTCAATACAAATTTCTCTAACGTTAACTACACAGTATTACATTAGTACACCCTTCTATCTTAATCCTTAATCATTTTGGTAAATATTAATGATCAGAGCACACTGTTGAGCTTACTAAGAGCAACAAGCTAGAAAGAACTTAGTTCAAGACCACACAGTCTGTTCCCCTCTGAGGTTTGCTTATCACAAACTATCTCAAATTCTCCTGCCACTGTGGACCACAAACCTGTATGGAGTTACTGCTATTGCCAAATTCATGGAGCACTCACTGTACAAGCAATGGGTAGTGATAGGTCACAGAGCAGGACTGATTACATCTGATACCCCAGAACAGAACAGAACAGAACAGAACAGAACAGAACAGAACAGAACAGAACAGGCTTGTACATAACTACCAGAACAGTAAAGAGCCCTGTGTTGATCATCATCTTGTCAACGCCGGTAGGTCAACTAAACATGTATTTACCAAAGTTAACTTTCTTTTCAGCTCTTTCAAAAACTAAGGGATAGGCCAGCCCCCACTACAGGGAGACCCTGTCTCAAAAACATCCCCCCCCCCCCAAAGAAAACCCCACCTAGGAATAAAAGCCAGTTGTGGTAGTGCACACCTTTACTCTCAGCACCTGGGAAGCAGAGGCCAGCCTGGTCTATGCAGCAAGTTCCAGGCCAGCCGGTGCTACGTAGTGAGATTCTGTCTTAAAAACAAAAACAACCCCACCCCAAACTAAGGAATCAAACACTACCCCTCCTATTTAAAGGCTATCGGGTCCAGACTGAGGTAGACTGCCTCTGTGCCAGGCTGTGAGAGCACAATCGGAGAACACTGAGGGTTCTGGGACATTATAACCAGTTAACCCCAGGACAGACTTGCCCAAGGTAAAGGCAGTACATGTCTCTCAGCAACTTCTGGCTTCTCTCACAGCCCCACTGGCCAGAAATGCCTCACATCTGTAAAGACAGATGAATCCTGAAATATGGCCTCATTAATGAAAGAAGAGACTTCCCACTTTAATGAAGGGTCAAACAGAGTCAAAGCTCAAAGCTCAACAAGGCTTCTCCCCTGCCGCTCCCAAATTTTTTTTTTTTGCTAAAAATATTTAAGCCATTTAAAGAACCAGCAAGGGCAAAGTGATCACTTTCTGCAGATTACCAAGGGGGTGATGCATAATGGGGTGGGGGGGTGTTGTGGAGATAGGAAAGATTTCAGTGCATTCTAAGCAAAGGCAGAGACCTAAGGAAGAATACAAAGTAGGCCATCTGTGTGCATCGCAGAACATTCCAGGGCAATACTGACAAGAACTTGTAGTCCTGGCTGCAGCCTGACAATAACTGGGAGTCTCTGAAAACACCTCTGGTCAAGACACCAAGGTGCAACCCACCAGTGCACGGAAGACGAAACCAGAAGATGTGGGGACAGAACATGTGACCCCCAAACCTGCCTTGTGTGCATAAGGTTTATTCAACCAAGACCCCAGTTAGCTACTTTTCCCCATTTCTTCCCAAGGTGGGATGATAAAGAACAGGACCAAGATGACAATGCTCATATGGAAGAAAAAATACAACTTAGGGAAAAGAGCAGGGCCTGCTGGAGAGCCCAAGGGCAAACTCTTTTTTTTAAAAAAAAGGTTCATCTAGGGTTCCTCACTTCTGCGCTACTGACATCATCTGGGCAATTCTGCTGTAGCTCTCCATGGGCACTGCTAGATGTTGAACATCATCCCTGGCTTCTAACCACAAATGCCTGTGGCACTCTCCCCAATTCTGACAGCCAAAAATTTCTCTAAATATTGCTAAATGTCTCTATAAGGCCAAAATAGTTCTCAGTGGAAAGTCATAGTTCTCAGTTATGTGGGACTTTTGTTTGTTTTGTTTTGTTTTTCTTTCTGGAAAGCAAAGGCAGAATGGTCACATGAAACTTGGCTCAGGCACCTCAGACAGGGAGCATAGTGACTAGAAGACACAGCAAAGCCGTCACTGTGAACTTCTAGCGCCATCACTACCTGTCTCTATGCGACTCTGGGCATTACTGGAAGGTTTTCTAAGCTAGCAGCAGGAACTGAGGAGGTGCCTAAAACCTGTGCCCTGTCAGGAGGATTGAACAAAATCATCTCAGACATGATGTGGGGATATGCAAGCCTCATTCTTCCTCCAGAAGGTGGCTTCATGTAAGGGATGACACCACCCTCTAGCAGATGCTTATAGACCCACACTAATGAATGCTTAACAGAACAGCCAGCAATCCAGATCTACCAGCAGTCTCAGCAACTGTGCTCCACTATCTGTGCACCATGTATTTCTGCAACACATCCAAGATGACTGAAAACTTGATGGGCAACAGAAGGGCTCTACAGGCTCAGTGACTGGCAAAGTAAGTTGTCTATTTTTTCTGAGCCAACCCAGCGATTCTCAAAACCTTGTGATGTGCCACTTCTATGCTACTTTCTCACCCACGCACACCTACAGACTCCACTGAAAAAGACAAAAGAAAAGAAAGCAAACAAAAACCCACCACTGATCTAGTTTACTGCTGGCGTTCTGACGCAGTACTGCCCAACAGCCAGGGAGCGGCAGCATTGTGTTAAAAAAAAAAATCTAAAAATCTTAATTCCACACATGTAGCACAACAAAGGTACAGTCAAACTGAGCAGAAGTTTGAAGCAAATTTAAGTAGCTACAAAAGATTCAATGTTTCTAAATGGGTCAGTAATTAAAGACTAAACATCCATGAAGGAAGGCAGTGTGCGCTTTAAAAGGCACTAGATTAAAACTGTAATAGAAGACTGCAGTTCTGTCTGCAACTAGTAGTTACCTTGCAGTCACAGGGCCCCTTGGCAAGTGAAGGACAAAGTTGAGCATTACTATCACTGTTCAACAGATGAAGAGAGTAGTCAGTCCCAGGCTTAGTTCATGCTATCCTACTATCTCACCTTCACACAAAGTGAGGGCTACAGGAGGAGGGTACCAAAGAGCTAGAGGACCTAGCAAAGAGGGGCAGAGCCACTTGGGGAGGTTTCAGAAGTTTTAGGGGAGGAGGAGGTGTTTCTAGGCTAACAGTGGGATTCTTCCACATCAATAAACTGGGTATTCTTTAAATGAAAAATACATGTAAGTTTAAAGCAAGCACCCACACACTCACATGCATACACCATCCTCCTACACATATACCAGTCTCTACCATACACCACCTATACATACACCATCACCACAGCCACATACCATCATTACCCCCCATATATATCACCTCACACACCACATACTACCCTCAACACACATACACCACTCCCCCACACATATATCACCCCACATACTGTACACCACCTCCCACACATACCTTACATACCATTCTATACACCACGCCCACACACCATCACTATCCCAGTTACATATACCACTCCCATACACCACCTCCACATACAGTACCCTACTACCAACACACCACACACCACCCACACAAAATAAGGTAAAGAAGCTGGCTGTGGTGGTGCACAACTTTAATCCCAGCAATCGGGAGGCAGAGGCAGGTGGATCTCGATGCATTGGAGGGCAACCTAATCTACATAGTGAGTTCCAGACCAGCTGGGGCTACTGGGAGACCCTGTCTCAAAAAGACCCCCCCAAAACAAAAAAATGTAAGAAATGACTGAGGAAGATACTTTGACATCACCTCTGGTCTCCACACAGGCAAGTACACACCTCTACGCATACCGCCCCCCCCCCAATCCTCCAAGAACTTAAAACTATCTCTCAATTGCTTATTATGGAGTCAGAACTTCCTAAGGCACCATCTACCTAGTCTGACACAGCATATTAACATTAACGTTTTCAGGCAATTAATTATATTTGCAGTGGAGCCATGATGAGATTCCTACTTCTTGGTCTCACTGTGAACTTACAAACTAGGTGGTGTTTTGTTTTGTGGTTTTGTTGAACAGGATCTCATGCAACCTAGACTGGTCTTGAGCTGCTTATCCTGCCACCCTCTTTCAGAGGATGGGATTACAGGTGCATGCTGCCATGTCTGGCTGTGCTTGCTGTCCTTTTTTTTTTTTTTTGAAACAGGGTCTCTTCTGTAGCCCCAGCTGCCTGGAACTCACTATGTAGACCAGGCTGGCCTTAAATTCACAGAGATCCAGATATATACAGATATATGTAAAGGGAAATTTCTTTTTTTTTTTTTTGGTCTTTTTGAGACAGGGTCTCCCTGTAGCCCCAGCTGGCCTGGAACTCACTGCGTACACCAAACTGGCCTTAAATTCACATAGATCCACCACCTGCCTCTGCCTCCCAAGTGCTGGGATTAAAGGTGTGCACCACCTTGCCAGGCTGAGATTTCTTCTTCTTCTTTTTTTTAATGTTTTATTTTCTGTGTATTAGTATAATGCTTGCATGTAGGCAGGTGCACCTTTGTCATGCAATGCCCAATGAGCTCAGAAGAGGGCATCGGGTCCTCTGGAACTGGAGTTAAGGACAGTTGTTAGTCACTACATGGGTGCTGGGAATTGAACCCAGGTCCTCTGCAAGAGTAGTCAAGTACTCTTAACCACTGAGCCATCTCTCCAGCCCCCCAAATGGAGATTTCTAACATGAGACAGACATAGCAAACCATAGAGTATTCTGGTCAGTCATGCATACGCCATCTTGGGCACTTGACGGTCATGGTTAGTATCAGGTATCTGGATGGATCATAGACAGCGATGCATCACTTCTGAGATCTGGAAGGCTGCTGCTGAGAAGGCCAGTGTG